AACTGTCAAATTCATGTGCCACTTTTTTCCCTACTTCACATTTGTTTTATTTAGAAGCAATCTTATTTTACATACCAATATCCCCCCCCCTCCCTCTTTCTCCCAAACCTCCCACCGACTGCTCCCAAGCCAGTCCTACCCACTCAGCAAGGATAGTGAGGCCTCCCATGAGGGATCATCAAAATCTGTCACATTATTTGGGGGAGGGCCTAGGCCCTCCTCCATGTATCTGGTCTGAAATAGTATCCCTTCATATGGAATGGGTTCCCAAAGTCAATTTGTGCACTAGGGATAAACACTGGTTCCACTGTCAGAGCTCCCATGGACGACCCACGCCTCCTGACTGGCAGCCACAATCAGGGGCCTTGTTTTGGTTCAATGCTGTTTCCCCAGCTTTACAACTGAGGTCCATGAGCTCTCACTAGGTCAGGTCAGCTGCTTCTGTAGGTTTCTCCAGCATGATCTTGACTGCTTTGCTCACCCCCCACTCCCTTTCAACAACTGGATTACAGGAATATACTTCAGTGCTTAGCTGTGGGTGTCTGCTTTTGCTTCCATCAGCTACTGGATAAAGGCTCCAGGATGGCAATTAAAGTAGTCATCAATCTCATTATAGGGAAAGGGCATCAAAGTTGGCCTCCCCACTACTGCCTAGATTCTTAGTTGGGGTCACCTTTATGGATCTCTGAACACTTCTGTAGTGCCAGATTTCCCTTTAAACCTATACTGGTTCCTTCTATTAATGTATCTCTTTTCTGGCTCTCCTCTATTTCTCCCCTGATTCAATCTTCCTGATCTTTCTTGTTCTCCTCCCTGTCCTCTTCTCCCCTTCTCTTTTTCCTCCCTCCTTCCCCTCCCTGCCCATGCTCCCAGTTTGCTCAGGTATTCTTCTCCCATTCCCCTTCTTTGGGAGTCCATGTATTTCTCTCTTAGTGTCCTCCTTGTTTCCTAGTTTATCTGGAAGCATGGATTATAGACTGGTAGTCCTTTGATCTATGTCTAATATCCACACATGAGTGAATACATATAATGCTTGTGTTTCTGTGACTGGGTTACCTCATTTAGGCTGGTTTCTTCCAGCTCCATCCATCTGCCTTCGAATTTCAAGATTCTGTTATTTATTTCCGCTGAGTAGTTCTCCATTATATAAATGTACCACATTTTCTCCATCCATTCTTTGGATGAGGGACATCTATGTTGGCTCCAAATTCTGGCTATTACAAACAATGCTGCTATGAACATGGTTGAATGTATGTTGTATGAATGTGCATCCTTTGTGTATATGCCCAAGAGTGGAATTGCTGGACCTTGAGGTAGACTGACCCCTATTTTCCTGAGAAACCCCCATACTGATTTCCCCTTTCTCCACATCTTCTACAGCATAGACTGTCATTGGTGTTTCAGAAATTTTAAGAACAGCTAATACTTTTCAAAGTATTCCACACAATATAAGCAGAAGGGTCATTGCCGAACTCTTTTAAAAGGCTATAATTACCTTAGGAACCCAAGCCATAAAATGACACAACTAAGTAAAACAACTACAGACCAATCTCCTTCATGAACACTGATGCAAAAAATGCTCAATAAAATACTGGCAAATCAAATCCAAGAACACATCAGAAAAATCATCCACCGTGATCAAGTAGGCTTCATCCCCGGGATGCAGGAATGGTTCAATATATGTAAATCCTTCAATGAAATCCACCATATGAACAAGCTAGAAAAGAAAACTCAAATTATCATCTCACTAGATGCTGAAAATGCCTTTGACAAAATCCAGTATCCCTTCATGATAAAGGTCTTAGAGAGATTAGGGATAACAAGACTATACCTAAAATAATAAGAGCAATATACAGCAAACCAACATCCAACATAAACCTAAATGGAGAGAAACTTAATGTGATTCCTCTAAAATCAGGAACAAGACAAGGTTGTCCACTCTCCATATCTCTTGATATGCCACCTTTACAAGTTAGGTTTTTATTATTAGTAGTATACTATTATATTCTTAGAGATTGAGTGGTCTGATCAGTAATTTGTAGATACTCTGTAGGACAACTTTATTGGTAAGTCTTTTTTCTTGGGGTGTAAAGGCCAGAGGTGGTAGGTAACTCCAAAGAAACAGTGACAACATAACTGATATGATGGGAGAGGTCATTCTGTATGTTTCTCATACTGGCTAATAATAAAGCACTGTTGGCCAATAGGAAAGGAAGATAGGAGGGACTAGGAGACAAGGAGGAAATAGGAAGTAGTAAGGAGGAGTCAAGATGGAGAGTCTGGAGAAAGCAGTATGCCGCCGGCTCCCTGGTAAGAGAAATACATAGATCAGCAGAAATGGGTTAATAATTAAGGCAGAGCTAGCCGATAAGAAACAAGTAACCAGGCCAACAGTATTGTATCAAATACAGAGTCTCTGCGTATTATTTGGGGCTGGCGGCGTGGCAGCGGGAGGAAAAACCCGTACTCGTTACACTGATACACATTGGAACTCAAAAGACTGTCATAGTATGCACAAACCTGCACAAATTCAAAACAGACAAAATCAAAGCAGAGATAAGGAGAAGTAGACACAATGTCCCATTTGCAATTGATAATCACTGGAAAATAGAAAACCACTTTTCTCTATTATAGTGTCAAAATCTCCAATTTAATGTCACAATTGCATATTTGAGGGTCCCTTGGCAGGAGGAGAATGATACAAACCTGGTACACGAAGTAGCTTGTGGGAGCCCATTCTCCGTTTTGCTATGCATGTTCAGCCTTAATGCATGGGAGAAGGGCTTGGCCCAGCCCTAAACTATTGTGTCAGACTTTGTTGACTCCTCAAGAAAGCCCTTACCCATGAAGATAAGTAGACCGAGGATAGACTGGGACAAGGAAAAGGTTTGGGAGGGAGAACTATTGTTGAAATGTAAAATGAAATTTAAAAGAAATAATAAATTATAACAAAGAAAATAAAATTCACTTTGAAAGTCATTACTATTAAAACTTTGCTACGCCACCTTTAGACAATTTTCTTAGAAAGTTTTCTCTCCATTTTACACTTCTCACTTCTACATTTTATTAACTTTACTTTTCAGTTTGAAAGATGCAAAATATTGTATTTTCCTGTTGTTTATCCATAAAAGAGAAAAATTCTGTCCATCTTGTTTTTTACATTACAGGATAAAATTGAGTATATGCCTAAGAGAGCAGAATTGCCGGGTCCTGTGGTAGACTGATTTCCATTTTCCTGGGGAACAGCCATACTGATCTCCAAAATGGCTGTACGAGATTGCACTCCCACCAGCAGTGGAGGAATGTTCCCCTTTCTCCACATCCTCTCCAGCATAAGTTGTCATTGGTGTTTCTAATTTTAGCCATTCTGGCAGAAGTAAGGATACCATGCCTTTATACGATCTCAGCTCAAGTGAATTTCACTTGGGGAGTATAACAATTGTGAAAAAATAAAGAAATAAACATTAGGTCCACTGTATGTAAGTACTTATTAAATCACTGTATTAAATAATTATTTTATTTTATATAACATACTCTTTCTAATTTTGACAAAGTGTACGTTATGATTAATGACCCACCAAAGTGGCATATACTCCCACTGGGCCTAAGGTTTATGACAGGGCCACATTCCTTTTCCCCTGTTGATAGACCAGGTATATGTTCATCCCAGGGGAGTCACACATGAGTTGGGAAGTACAATGAAGCTGCCACCCTTTACTTTCTCCTGAACCTTGCCCTATGTAAGGCACATATCCATTTTTTTCTCTAGTTCTTTCCTCTATCCACTATCAGCCTGTGCATGTATCTTTTTTGAGCAATTGAAATATATGAGTACCTTCATAAAACCTTTGAGTACACTCATTATTTATTCATACATGTCCAGGAACACATGCCAAAATCAAAGCTCATCTCATGTTAGTCTATGTAGCAGACGGCTGATTCTCCTTTAACTGAGATTTTAGGGAAAATTTCCCACGTATCACTTTGTGGTTATGCAAAATATCTATGCCACTATTTCAATTCACAGAACATCAAAGAGACCAGAGAATCTTCATTCAGCAACTAATTAAGCAGATGCATTGTCCCAAGCCAAACATTCTGCAAAGCTCTGGTAGACCTGTGGAGCAGGGACGGGAAGGATCAGAGGAAGAAAAGTGTTCAGAGATACCATGAGAACTTGGAATCAACTGATCAGTACTCATGGGTGCTCACAGAGATCAGGGAACCTGCATGGTTCTGACATAGGTCCTCCACATATATATTATGTATGACTAGCTTGGATTTCCTGTGAGATGTTTTTCCTCCTACTGAGTTGCCTCAGCCAGAGTAGATGTGATGGTATGTGCCTGGTCTTATTGTGGCACGTTATGCAGCATGAGGTTGATGTCTCTGGGAGGTCTGCTCATTTTGAGTGGAGATGGAGGGGAAATTGACCTGGGGGAGAGCTGAGGTGGGGTGAAGAGGCTTGGGGTGGGGAGTGAGGGGAAAATCTGGTTGGTCCTGATAAATTAGTCTTGTAATTTGAAGAAATGACCACTCCAAACAAAGAAACCAACAGTTCACAGGGAGGACACAGTATTTTTTTTTTATCCATAGGAATTACTTGAGTGAGTTAAAGATTTATAGTCCACCCTCTGTTGTATATTTCCTGACAGTCAAATATTTGTCTGTATTAATATTAAATACTAATTAATTATTACTAAAAATAAATACTAAGATATCTTTGAAATATAATTTTCGAAAAAGAACTTATGTATAGTAGAAATTTTCATCAAAAATACCACCTATAATTTTAAAACTTGAAAATAAGTGCATTCTCTGTGGGCATATGTGTGGCCCAACCTCAGGAATCTGGGGACACAGGGCTAGTGCTCAGTCAGTGAGATAAGTAGGCTTTGCCGCTGAGACCAGTGCTAACGGGTTCTCAGTGATTTGCATGTACTCACTGATCAGCCTTGAGGATTTCTTCATATACCAGCCACACTCTGCAGTTTTCATTGCAGTCAGGACTCAGCATGGACATGAGGGCCCCTGTTCGGCTCCTTGGACTCTTGTTGCTCTGGTTTCCAGGTAAAACAAAGGACTAAAATGGGAATTTCACTGTTACACAGTGGTTACTGTTGATCGATTTTGGAGGAGGTCTTCTCTTATCATTCTTAACTATGGATATTAATTATGTCTCCATTCCTAGGTGCCACATGTGACATCCAGATGACCCAGTCTCCAGCCTCCCTGTCTGCCTCTCTGGGAGACAGAGTCACCATTACTTGTAAGGCCAGTCAGGACATTAGTAATTCTTTAAGTTGGTATCAGCAGAAACCAGGGAAAGCTCCTAAGCTCCTGATGTTTTATACAAACAAGTTGGCAGATGGGATCCCATCGCGGTTCAGTGGCAGTGGGTCTGGGACAGATTATTCTCTCACCATCAGCAGCCTGGAGGCTGAAGATGCTGGCATTTATTACTGTCAGCAGTATGATGAGTATCCTCTCACAGTGATACAAGTCATAACATAAACCTCCATGGAAGCGGAAGTGAGAGGCTGGGCCACCCCAGCTGCTCCTCCTCATGAGTCACTCACTGGAACTGTTTCTCAGATGTCACAGGATTTTTACCAAATCTCACAGAGAGACTTTGTTTTAGTAGAAGAGGGTAAACAGTCCTCTCTGTGCTTTAACTTTCTTACTTCCCCCCTCTGCATCTCCAGAAATACAGAGTACCAATATGTTTTCTGCCTTAACAGAACACAGTCATTTCCAGTGAGGAGTCTGAGCTGTATCTCCAGCTGGAATTCATACAGAAGAGTAGAAGCTTCTGTGCACATTCCAAGCAGTGAAATAGCTCCTAAGCACCAGCATTTAAATGGCAGGGAAAGAAGCTGACGGTGGGTGAAAAGGGTTCCTGGTTTTCTCACAAAAGCTAGAGCACCTGTGTCAGAGAAAGGGGTCGCTGCCTAGCCATCATCTTCTGTTGTACCTTGACCTTGCAGCACGAACACAGGATTCTTCTGGCTCCTCTGTCTACTGGTCTGCTTACAAGTATCAAACAAAATTGAGCCACGCCCACATGACTTTCAATTCCACTGTGTGAAATGTATGTAATGTAGTTTATGAGAAATTGTAAAGGGCTGTTTTCAACATGACTCCAGAAGTGGTATTACTGAAGAATTGATATCCCATAGAACAGGTTTAGAAAGAAGACAAAACATCAACACCATAGTGATCTATCTTTTTTGTTTTTGTTTTTTCGAGACAGGGTTTCTCTGTGGCTTTGGAGTCTGTCCTGGTACTAGGTCTTGTAGACCAGGCTGGTCTCAAACTCACAGACTCACAGATCCTTCTTTCTCTGCCAACCGAGTGCTGGGATTAAAGGCCTGCATCACCAACCGGCTGTGATCTGTCTTTAAGTCTTTTTTTTTTTTTTTTTTTCTCTTTAGGAAATTGTGTGTGTGTAAGAACTTGTTCTTGTGGGATTTTTTTTATGATATCTCATTTATATAGGTGCATATCTTTGTAAGTAAAGTACACACAGACTTAATTTCTAAGATTTCTATACAAAAGAGAACAAGTCACAAGATATAATACCACGTTTCTGTTCGTTACATTTACTTACTTTTGCTCTCTTTAGATTTTTTTGAGAAAATTCTGGACTGAGTTAACCAACTTTAGAAACTCTGTCAGGAATATTTTTTGCATGCATCACATTGAGTTTATGTGAAATCTGGAAATAACATACACTTCAAAGTGGTTTGTGGGGCTGGGGAATGACCAGTAGTGAAGAGCACGCAGTGCTGTTGAATAAAAGCTGGGTTTAACTTCCGTTGCTTGAGATCCAGCACTCCTTTTCAGCTACTTTAAGAATGTCCTAGAGAACATCAGTCAGGGTTGCAGAGAATAGCGACAATTATTTCATAGTTCTTGCCATTGTAATGCATTCCTGCTACATCTACTTTCTCTTAGTGTGTACCTTTCCACCTCTGTTTAGTTTTCACTTTTCATAATAGCCAAAAAAATAGAAGTAAATGAAGAGGTCAAAAACAGCGCCCCCTACCAGCAGGAAGTAGTTTGGAAAGAACAACGCCCAAATTCCCAAATATTGTGTATAAATGTTTGTTTTCATTTAATTGGACTTTGTTATATAAAATAAATAAAAAAATGGAGATCTTGTCCTTTTCCATTTTGCGGGGTCCATGAATGTCTCTCTTAGTTTTCTCTTTGTTTCCTAACTTCTCTGGGGTTGTGGATTATAGGCTAGTTATCTTTTGCTCTATGTCTAATATCCACTTATGAGAGAGTACATACCATGTTTGTTTTTCTGTGTCTAGGTTATCTTACTCAGGATGGTTTCTTCTAGTTCTATCCTGTTGTTTTCGCATTTCAAGATTTCATTGGTTTTTTGTTTGTTTTGTTTTTGTTTTTTTTTCTGTTGAGTGGTACTCTATTGTGTAAACATATCACAGTTTCTCTATCCATTATTTGGTTGAGGGGCATCTAGGTTGCTTCCAGGTTATGGCTATTACAAATAATGCTGCAGTGAACATAGTAGATCAGAAGCCCTTGTGGTATGAATGTACACCCTTTAGGTATATGCTTAAGAGTTGAATTGCTGGATGTTGAGGTAGACTGATTCCCATTTTCCTGAAAAACTGACCTACTGATTTCCAAAGTGGCTGTATGAGTTTGCATTTCCAGCAGCATTGGAGAAGTGTTCTCTTTTCTCCACCATAAACTGTCTGTTGTTGGTGTTTTATTTATTTATTTATTTATTTATTTTAATTATTCTGACAGGTGTAAGTTGGGGGCGAGGGAAGAAAAAGAGGAGGGGAGAAAGGATGGAGGAGGAGAATATGAGGGATCAGGAAAGTCGAGTTGGGAGAAGAACAGAGAAGGAGAGCAACGAAAGAGATACCTTAATAGAGTGAGCCATTATGGGCTTAATGAGAAATCTGGCGCTACGGAAATCTCCAGGGATCCACACGGATGACCCCAGCTATGAATCTAAGCAATAGTGGAGAGGCTACCTTAAATGTCCTTCTTCCATAATGAGATTAGTGACTACCTTAAATGCTATCTCTTCCTACTACAGATTTGTCCGGAGGTCAATCAGATATAAGTATTTTCTCAATTGAAGTTCCCTTTTCCCATATGCCCTTAGTATCAAGCTGACAGAAACAACCAAGACAAGAAGACAAGGCTTTTTTTTTTTTTTTAAATAACACTGTGATAACAGGGCACCCTAAATTCCACATTCAATTTCCTAGGCATAAAATGTTTCCTTTACTCTTGTGTTTGCACTTAACTATTATGTTTGTATCTATGTAAAGGAGACATTAGACACAATTCTCCTGGCAGAACCAAACTATTCCCAAGTGTATAATGGGTACTGGAGACACACAATTTGGACTTTGTTTTCTTCTTGGCAAACCTGGCCTTCTGTGTATGTATTTCTCTTATTGGTTGATGAATAAAATACTGTCTGGCCAATGAGACAGGAAGATAGGGGAACAAGGACAAGTAGAATTCTGGGAAAATTAGGCAGGGAGAGCCCGACAAAGACAGTTGCCATGTAGATCTCAAAGAGGTAGGAGGTGTGGACCATGTGAAAATACTTAGATTAATAAGATACTTTAATAATTAAGACAGAGCTAGACAATAAAAAGTCCTAATCATTGACCAAAAATTTTATAATTAATATAGAATTTCTGTGCATTTATTTGGGGCTGAAGAAGTGGCTGTGGAACCTGGAAGGACAAGAAACCTTATGTAACACAGGTGTAAACAACAATTAAGAAAATAATTTAACACCATGTCTATTCAGAAAAATACCAGTTTTAAGTTACTTCATAGAGCATATGACTTTCATAGCCATGGACTCTTGACTGAATTTTGTAGAGGGAAATTTCTGTCCTGCCTGGTCCTGTAGCTGTTTCATCCAAAGTAAGCACACAGAGGCTTATATTAAATATAAACGGTTTGCCCAGAGGCATGACATAGAGATAAACAGTTAAAAATGAGAGTTTAGATGAGGCCGAGCATTCACAAATCATAAGGAGTATCTATGTCATGATTTAGGAGGTGGTTAATGGCCCCCCAAAAAAGCCTGCTTACCAGGTGGTGCACACCTTTAATCACACATAGGTTATTGACTTCTTACCTTGCATTTTATCTTTAATTTTTGTTGTTGATACACTTCTTTTTGAAATTCTATTTTAATTATAGTCTCTCTCCATTTCCTTTTTTCCCTCCAAACCTTTATAGTTATGATCTATCTATTGCAAAGTGTTTTATTGACTTTGAGATCCCTGGGAATGGAAAAACATAGAGTCAATCCAATTATACTTAAAGGATGTGTTGATTAATGTTAACAGAACAATTATCTCTCTGTCAAGATTATATAGTCAAGGTGACCTTAATATTGTTCTTGAATAGTTACATAAGCAAGTTACAGACGCCAAAAAGCAGTTAATCATATCATAACAAGTAGATGTTCATGGGGGCACACTTTTTGGGTGGATTCACTGAGTTAGAGTTTCTGGGAATTTATCTTCCAGGGACCTGAGGCAGAGACAGCAGTTTTCAAATGTTTAAAATTAAACAAATTTAGGGAAGACTTAAGTGATCATTTTGATGAAGCATTTAAAGTAATTTTTATTATCATGAACAGATAAATATAACCTGAAGAATTAATAAATCCTAATCCTCAAGTGTATATCAACTTTAAGTCCCATCCTATATGAATGAACTTTTATTTAGGTCTTTTGAGTCTTGACTTTTATGGTTTATATCCCCATCTGAAATTGCATGTGTTCGGAGCACATACCCTTCAATTTACAGAATCTTAGCTGGCTGTTCAGTCCCTACAGGAGTCAGTCCCAGTCAGAACCTGAGATGGCCCTGAATGTAGGTATACATGTGCTGGCAATTTGATTATTTTGACTCTTAAGTGAATTGTACAAAATGTTGAATTTATTCACTTAAGGGTAGTCAGCAAATCTCTTCTAATCAGAAAATCGTATTATAACTTTGTTAATTGTGATATTTGTTTTAATTTTCTACTGTCAGGAACTTGATGTGATATTCAAATGACTCAATAACTGTCTTCCTTTTCTGCATCTATAGGAGACAGAGTGACCATCACTTACTTGGCAAGTGAGAGCACTTGCAATGAGCTAAATTGGTACCATCAGAAATCAGGAAAAGCTTCTGAAACATTGACCTATTTTGCAACTAGTTTGCCAACTGGTGTCCCATAAAGTTTCACTGGCCAATGTTATAGCAGAGTTTTTGCTCTAACCATCAGAACACTGGATCCTGAAGATGTTAGAAATTATTGTTTTCTATAGCATTATAGTAGCCATCATACAATGATACAAACCATAATATAAATCATGGAAGTGGAAGTGGGAGGCTGTGCTTAGACTGGTTGGTTGTCCAGAAGTGGTTTTTCTAGAAATTTCCCAGGTATCTGAACATTAACACATTTTTCTCTGGTCCTCTGGCAGCATTCAATGTACATC